GTGGAAAACATACTTACTACCCACAATCATGAGAAAGGAGAATTTGCATCATCTTAAAGTGGAGGATATGGCTTGGATTTTAAAATCAACAAAACCCCACTCAACACCTAAGTAGAAAATATCTTTCTTCACTACATATTGTAGAAGTATAGTGGTTTGCATCACTACAAAGATTGACAAGAGTCTAATCTTTTGAGAAAAGTTTTAAAGTAAAAGCCAAAATGGCAAAATGGTTTGAATGAGATTGATTGACTTTTAGTATTCTCACTAAAATGTCAAGGTATTATTAAGTTGATTGAAGTTTGTTTAAGAAAATGTTTTGAAAATGCATGGACCTAAGTCCAAGTTTATTACGAAAGTGGTTCAAGTTTAAAAACAAGAAGATTTTTCAAAAGGAGGGAGAAGATTTTTTAAAAATGAAGGAAAATTATGGTATATTTATAGGTATATTTATAGGTATATAAATGAATTATGGTATATTTATGGTATATTTATAGGTACTATAAACTTATTTAACCCTTAAAATAAACATCAGACAAAAAATATGATAAAATATACACATAGTACTTATAGTACTTGTTGATTTCTCTAAAGAATTAAAGAAATATATAATGGTTAGTAAGATTTTGTACATAATGCAGTTTGATTTGGTTTATAAAATATAAACCGCAAACCAAACTCAATCTCATAGTTCTATTAAAAAATGACCCAAACACATCCGAACCAAATGTTATTTTTTGTGATTTTAGTTTGGTTTGGCTCGGTTAACGATTTTTATATGGCCGGTTCGATTTTGAACTCTCCACTTTGTGGGGGTGTGAACTCCTTCAAATTTCAAAAAAAATTAATGAATAATAAAAAAAATGGTAAATTAGATAAAATCACACAAAAATAAAATTGGAATATTTTATAAAATGTAGGGATATGAGAATAAGTGTAAGAATATGGGGTAAAAATTTCTGAAATGTCCTATTTATTTTAATTCCAACTTTGTAATATATTTTAGGGTTAAATATACAACACCTCACCTGCAAAGTGAGCGACATTCAGTTTACCCCTGTAATATTTTTTTCCTTCCGATTCTCCCCTTATAATGTATAGATTCTATCATTTTGACCCTTAGTTGACAAGTTATACAATAAATCTTCATTTATACTTATGTAGTAGGTCTATGTGGTTTATTTATTTATTTATTTAAGAACACCCAACCGAGGAACCTTCGCTCATTTACAGAACACCCAACCATTGGGCTAGCTACTTCCATTTGATAAATGAAACTTAAAATACCCATTTAACTTAAAATATCCATTTAGCTTAATTGGAAGGAAATCCCCAACCTAAATTCCTCCGACATCGTTCCATTCTCATTCACGAACAAGTTTTGTGTTCTTGTGGTCGATTAGTGAAGAAATGTCGAACTCATAAAGTTGTTTCATCTCTATCTCAAATTTCGGAACCATAGAAATCATATACATTTAAAAAAAACTCCACCTTTTCACTACAATTGGATCTCAAGGACTTCAATAATTTTCCTGTGATTTCAATATGAAATTTGTACTCTCTTCATCCCGTTAGTTTCTGGAAAGTTAGTTTTTTTTTTTGTGAAATTGGGAATTCAATTTTGAAGATATTAGGGTGAAGTAGTACCATTGTTGAATTGGTGTTTTGAAGGCCATTAGTGTAGTTACAGGGATAACAATTTTGGGTGGTGGTTGTGCAATTTTTACGGTTAAATGGTTGTGATACATTGCCTTGTAGACTGTTAATATGATTCCACACTGATATTAGCGAAAATAAAAATGCGTGATAGATGGTCGTGATGTTGCTCACTAATGAAAAGGAAAAGGAAAAAGCATGATAAATGAAAATAAAATTGATTCCTCACTGGTGTTGCTCTTCTATGAATGACTGAAAGTTGATTTCGTGTGATAAATGATCGTGATGAAAATTCATTTGATTGTTGAGACAACATTACTGTGTTCTTATAAATAAATTTGAGGGAATTATTTACAGATGAAATCCACTAGCCCAGTGCTTGGGCGCTTGACACAAGTGCGAATGTTCCTGGGTTCCAATCCCATTGAAATTAACTTTTTAGAAGTTATCATGTTTTCATATGAAAGTGGAAGAATATTGACATGTCACTAATTAAATTAAAAAAAAACACCTAGACCTGCCATGTAAGCATAAATGAAGATTTTGTGTGCAACTTGTTAATTAAGGGTCAAAAGGATAGAATTTTTACATTGTAATGGAGGAATCGAAAAAAATATTACAGGAGGTAAATTGAATGTTGCTCACTTTGCAAGGGGTGTTGTATATTTAACCCTATAATTTATTTGGACATAAGTGAATTTGGTCGCTCGAGTGACCATTTTTAAACTAGTCATATTTTTTTCTTTTTATTTATTTGTTATTTATACTGATACTAATTGAGCTTAGAGATTAACTGATATACACTATCACTATAAAAAGTTTTATATCACTGATACATCATAATCATTCATAAGTAGCAGTGATAAAGCAGGCGACCCATCCTGTTTAGGTCCGCCCCGTTTAAGTCTGTCCAAAAGTGGGGTGGGACGGGGCAGACCAACTTAGGCGTCCGAGCTCAAAATTCAAGCCCACCTTATTTATTAACGAGTTGGAAGGTCGGTCCACTAATTTTTTATTTTATTTTTATTTTTCAATTTGATTTACTACATAATTTCCAATTTTTTTTAATTATTATTAAAGAGATCGACAAAAGATTTAAAAAAAAAAACGCATAATAAAACTTTACCATGTCTTAAGTCCAAACAATTCAAAAAATATAATAAATAAAGACCAATTAAAAAAGCAACAAAATAAACTCAATCACAATAAAAAGAAGTATCAAAATAAATAAATAAACGATACATATCATCCTAATTCTATTTAAAAACTAACTACTAAAGAACTCAATTAAGATTTTATACAAGACAAATTATATAATAAACAATTACACTGCATAAAACATCACAATGCATAAAATAGTAGTACATAAAATATCAACAATCGACTTTCTCAGTTTTTACATTATATAACCTATTATATAATAGTTAAATCCTAAATTTGTCACACGTATACACTAATCAAATCATTTATTTACTTAAAATCAACATCTATTTCTAAAGAAAACACGTGAGTTAATGTATTGACAATTTAATAATTCTGCATGCCATACGATTGTTCTTTTATTTCAAGTTTTTTTAATCAACACATGTATTACAAAATTATAGAGAGAACATTGAACTTATAATTCAATTTGCGTTTATAATAGTTTAAAATACAATTCAATCATCGTAATCCTAAGAGAAGAATGTTGTTTTTATAGTTAAAGTTATTTAAATTCTAAATAAAAAATAAAAAATTTTAACAAAAAGTTCGCACGCAAAATCCGTCCCGCCCCGTTTTTTTAAGTAAGTTAGGTGAGGTGGACCAACTTAAAATACCAAGCCAAAAATCTCAGTCTAAATCACAAAAAATAACGGGTCAAACATATTGACCGACAAACTCAACCCGTTTTACCACCACTATTCATAAGTGATATTTTAAACGTGATTAAAAAAGTCAAATACATATTAAAATTTAATAAATATTAATTAAATACGTAAAATATGTCACTACATTTCAATTAAATTCTATCTATTAATTAATTATATAAAAGTTAAAAATCAAATTAATTAGAGAAATACACAAATTAAAACTTTTAATACAATAACTTAGTTATAATTTTTCAACCAATATTTTTGAAAAGTAGAAAAAGTTAATACGTAGTATTTATAAAATCAATTAACTAATTACAACTATTAATTTGAAAATTCTCCTTTTCAGAAATATATTTGAAAAATTATATTTCCCTTGTACGCGAAGCCCTGTGCTGCTTGAAAGCTTTGTTGCCTTGCAGTAGTTGGTGTTTGAGTTGTGTTGACGGTGAATTGAAAAGACGAGAACTCTCGAGAAGCATTCGGAGCTTGTAACCGTCTCAGGTAACGAGCTCTAACCCTTGAATCACGTTACTATGAATTTTGTCTCGCTCCGTTCACTTTTGTGTTTGTTGTTAAAGTTAAATCACCATAACCTCTAACAACTGAGAAAGAAAGCCTAAAAATAGGGGTTAGGTTTTGTAAAATACTAACGAAGATGATGAGATATATGGATAATTGTTTGAATTCTATGATTCTCTAATTTCATTGGTTGGTACTGTTGGGGGCTATGAAGCACATACACCGAGTTTGATCCCGACACTGATACTGATAATAATTTGAAAAATGAATAAATTAAACATAATCACAAGTGTTGTTGCGTGTGTTCGATATTGACACGAACACGGACACCCCTTTTATTAGAGGTGTCAGTGCTACATAGGTTGGGGGTGCAGGAAGACAATCTAGTGTTTGTGTTGTTGTTTAACAGGGGTACGCATAAGGTGTTTGTGAAAATGCCTCAAACAAGGTTAATTCCTGGATTGAAAATTTATTCTAAACTTTCAGCCTGACAAATAACTACAGATATAATTGTATCTATTTTTTGTTTTTGTTTTTGGGTTTAGCCAATCAATTCCGATCCACTTAGTGAACCGACTAATCTGATTTCGTGGTTCAGAGGGACGACTCACTGGTCAAGTCTTGTTTCCACCAAGAATCGAACTCGGATAGTACCCGAACGATTCGTCCTTAGTGGAAGCTCCTTTCCCACTAGAGCCCAAGTAACTTGGTTTAATTGTATCTATTTTTATTAGTTACGATGATGGGAGTTTTGTTGAAGACAATTGCTTTCTCTTTGATGTTTATGTTTAAACCCTCTTCCACACTTTCTATAACTAGATCAGTCCAGCTTTTCTATTGATAATATTGCTATACCTGTATATGTGACTATGTTTCTGCAGATTTTGATATTCAAGAGTGTTCCGAAACCGATAGCCTTGTGCAGAAGCTGACAGTTCTGTTTAGTTATCTCCAGTGCGTGCCTGCTTTTCAATGGTAAACAGTCTCCCATGCTTTTTCTACTTTGATTCTTCTCCTTTCCCACTGTTGTTGATATTTAAAGTTTGAATGACATTTCTGAAGGAAGCACAACAGGACCAGAGTTTGAATCTTGAGGAGTGCTTGAAATTATTGAAAGGAGCGAGAGATGAGCAGCGTCTGGCTGGGCTTCTTCTGGTCACCAAGTTTTGCAAAGCTGATGATCACTCCTCACTACGCAGGGTTTACGAGGCTGTTGGTTCTCTCTTTCTTGATCGGCTACTCAGAACTGGTACTTGCTCTTCCATTTTCCACTGATTTTTCGCCATATTCAGTTTGTAATATATTATTGACGTTATCTTTATCTTCTACTAAAAAGGTATGGGAAAAGGAACCATATCCAGTAGCAGGGACAGCAACCGGGATGCATATTTGAACCTGTCGATTGCAGTTCTTGCTACCCTTTGTCGTGTTCCAGAGATTGCATCCTCTGAAGACATGGTTTCCAAGATCCCAATGATATTGGAAGTAATTTCCACCCAGTACGGTGTTTTTCTTTTCTTTCACATTACTTATTCTAATCCCCCCCTCTCAATTTTCATGATCCCACCTATATTAAAAGAGACTGAGTGAACCAACTAAGTTACCTTGACTGCATCATATAATATAAGTGGTTGTTACTTAAACAATTGTCAATATTGTTTAATGTTTAAATTGAAGGTTAACTATGAACTACCACTTTCAAGTTATTATTACTATTATTTTCATTACTTTTGTTAAAATATTGCCATGCAGTTATTTTCTTGACCCTGGTATATCTATGCTTTAAAGATAGATTAGCTATGTCTATTATGCTACCTTACAAAGGATTAAATTAAGAGTTTCATTTATGCCAAACCAAAAACCCTACGAAGAAGAGTGTGGGAAGCCGTATCAGAGTACAGTTATGGGAATAAGGATATATAGATTGTATTTTTCTGGGACAATTAATAAGGTTTATACTTTGGTAAACATTGTTTTTTATTTTTTTTGGTTTCTTAACCTCTTTCTTTATCAAGTTGATTAGATGAGTTAGATTTTGTTGCGACTTTTATTCTAAGATCAGGTTATATCCCCATACTCTGTTTGTTGAACAGATTTATGAAAATGAAGAAAATCCAATCACTTACTTATTTTCAAATGGCGGGTGCAAAATTTAAACTCTGCATTAATCCTTTATAAAGCACACATTTGCTACTACTACTACAGTAAAATTGTTAGTTGTAGGCCTTCTTTATTATTGTAAAACTTGAGATCTGTCCAACGGATGGAAAAGTGTGGCCCACACCACATTATGTATCAGTAGTCTTTCATTTTCTTTGTTTTGAAGAAGTAAAATTTCTTTATAATTTTTGTCGAATTGTTTTTTAGATCTTGCTCATCTGTTCTTGAAGAATGTTGTGAGTTTTTATACTTGGTATCAACTGCTTCAGAAAATGGAATCATGCGATTTTATGAATCTAGAGGCATCAAAGTACTAGCTTCTCAGTTGTTTTCTCTGCAAGATGGTATGATATTTTGTCTGCTGCACCTGGATAGTTTTTGAGTAACCATCTAACTATTGCAAATACTCTACCAGTATGTGAATAGTGAACTTTTGTTCCCATGTTTTTGTCTATGCATCATATTTCACAGTGGTCAAACATTGTGCAGGTTCACATCTGGTGGAAATATCTATTAAACTTTTGCAATTGATTCTGAGCAAGATATCGTTAGACACAATCCGGAATGAGTACTTATCCGAGCTCTCGGTTATTGTGAGTGTACTCTTCATATTTGTAATTGTGCTTTTCAGAGATTTGTGCTCTCATTTTGATTTTGTCAGCTTGCTTCATGTTAAATCAACTTTTATTACCGTAACTCTCTGCAGGTGGCTGCAATAGCAAAGCAGTTTGCTATCTTGCATAATTCCTTGAAATTTGAAGCTCTCCACCTCCTTAATTCCATTCTTTCTTCAACAGATTCGGTATGTAATAACATCTTAATCTGTTATTTTCAGTCATATGGTCTCTCTATAATACTACCTCCGTTCCTTTTTATAAGAGAAAATTCATTTTTTAGGTTCATTGAATAGTCAATGTATCTAGTCTATAAATAGACCAAATACATTAGTTTTCAATGAATCTAAAAAATGACTTTTCTCTTATAAAAAGGAACGCAGGTAGTACAATATAATAGAATTCTAACCCGCTTGTTAAAGAAAGTTCTTTTAACTAAACTATGTCACGTGAATTTGGTATATTTTGGGCTGTTGTCTGTGCTAAATACTTATCCCGTTGCTTCTGTAAAAGAGCTTGGTTCGTGTTTTCTGTATTTGAGAAACTTCTTTTGTGATGCAGGTCTAAAGCATATGCATGTTAAAATATTCTCACCTGAACTTTTTGGTTTTGTTTTGTATACCTATTTATGGGTTGACAGTCGCTATTCCTGGCGAGGTTATGTACACTTTGTATTCATTTTGTCATGCAATTAACTTCAAGTTCTTTGTATTTTCAGTCACAACTTAAAACTCTCCAATTACGGCCTCAAGATAGCTGGTCACACAATATCCGTGTTGGTATCATGGCCATTTTGCAGAATCGTGTTGGTATGTTTAGACAATTTGCTGAATTATATTCATTATACTATTTTACGGTTTTACCTTTTATTCTCTATTTCTCTTTGTTCCCGTACTAAGCTCTTAAAGTTGGAAATCTACCGGTGTCTCTTAACTGATAAAGGTGTATACCAGCAGTGTGATAATGAAAGGTTCCAAGTCTGCAAGTTTTGTTATGATAGCAATTAGCAAGAAAAGGTTGTGATTGTCGTAAAAGGCCTAAGGAAAAAATCAGGAATATGGAAGGAAATTTTAAAAAAGGATAAAGTGGTGATTAGAGATAAGTGATTGAATTACTCTAATTAACATCTTGAGAATTTGGGGAAACATGTTAAGCAAACACATATTGTTTTATCAGGGAAAATAGTCCATGGTCGGCCCAATAAGAAAGAGTAGGAAGGGCGAATATCCATCACGTAAAAAGTTGAATCAAAGGTTTGGGTTCCAACTTTTATGGGGATGTCCACCTCCCCATGCACCATTCTCTTTGAACCGTCGAAGGCCCTTACCATTATATTGCTGGATTTAGGATCGAGGTTGTTAATGTACATTAACTAGTTTAGGGTAATTTGGCCCATATGTTAGGTTGTATGTATCCTAATGATTGGTTAATGAAAGAATTATTTAGTTCCCTTCCATTCAACATGGTATCTAGAGTTCAAACCCTAGGTTAATATGCTACTCCCTTCCACTCAACACTCCTTTTTTTCTGGTGGGATCCCAATTTCTTGCAGCTCTAACATCTTCCGGTGATGTTGCTCTTTTTATTTTCTGTGATGGATCCTCGATGTACATTGCTCTAACTTCTGCCATGACTGCATCCGACTTGTTCCGTTAGTTGATCCACCAAAGGATGCCGCCATGCTCCACTGCACATGTGTTGCCACTTGTCTTTGTTAGCACATTTTCAGCCCATCACCCCCGACCAAACAACAAACACTGCTTTCGTTTGCGCTTCTCTGTACTGCTATTGCTTCTTTCCCAGTAGATTGTGGACCAATAGACAATTATGTGGATCCCTATGGCTAACATGACCATAGCATTAACATTTAGCTGTTGGAAACTAGATGGAAATTTGGACTATTGCTCCATCACCCAATCAGCTATTTCATTGAATTATAAGGTATGCTAAAGGTTCTCCAGTCAAATTTTTATACGAGAATCAAGGTCACTCAGGTAATTGGTTATTCAGTTACTAGTTGGATTAGTTCCTCTTTTGATAGACATTCCACCTAAGAATTTTGTGTTCTTGTTGTAGGTAACTTTTTCTGGTGGAAAAGTAAGAAGTAAGGTTGAGTCTAGATCTAGTGCCATGGCAAAACGTTGAGCTATGACTTTGGTTAAATTTGTATAGATTAAGCAACTAATTCATGAACTAAAAATTGTAGAGGTCTTACAAATAATGTTGTTCTTTGATAATTAAGTTGTATCATGTTGCATCTGACCGACTCTATAACTAAAGAAACAAACACTAAAGCGGATTGCCACTTTATTAGGAAAAAAAAACTCTTTTTGATTGTGTTATCTTCAGACATATAGATACTGTTGAATAATGAGAGAACAAGAGGAAGGTTGGATTGAATCCGTGTGTGTGAATTACACATCGGAACTCATTATATATAATAGGAGGCATAAATGCCATAGTAATTACATAATATTCTATAATAATTACATAATATTCTATTTCCTATTTACATGATATCCTAATTACTTACAGAATATTCTATTTACATAATATGGAATATTCCGATATCTAACACTCCCCCTCAAGCTGGAGCATATATGTCATATGCACCAAGTTTGTTACAAATATAATTAATTCGAGGACCTCTTAAAGGCTTAGTGAAAACATCAACTAACTGATCATTTGAATTGACAAAACTAATGCTGACATCTCTAGATAAAATCTTCTCTCTGATGAAATGACAATCAATCTCAATGTGTTTGGCTCTCTCATGGAACACTGGATTTGATGCAATATACAGAGCTGCCTGATTGTCACAAATAAGTGTCATATGTGAAACTTCCTCGAATCTCAGGCCGTGAAGCAATTGTTTAAGCCATATAAGCTCACAGGTTGTTATTGCCATGGCTCGATATTCTGCTTCCGCACTTGACCTTGCCACTACACTTTGTTTCTTACTCTTCCAGGAAATTAAGTTACCACCCAAGAAAACACAATAACTTGAGGTGGATCTCCTATCAGAAGGAGAACCTGTCCAATCTGCATCTGAGTATCCTACAACTCGAGTGTGTCCCTTGTCTTCATAGAGAAAGCCTTTTCTTGGAGCTCCTTTAATATATTTCAAGATGCGAATCACAGCTTCCCAATGCCCTTCACAAGGAGAGTTAAGAAATTGACTTACCACACTAACAGGAAATGAAATATCTGGGGAGTAACAGTGAGGTAATTCAGTTTTCCAACTAATCTTCTATATTTTCCAGGATCAGAGAGTGGCTCCCCCTGAGCTGGCATAAGTTTAGCATTGGGATCCATCGGAGTGTCAACTGGCTTGAAATTTAACAGTCCTGTCTCCTCCAAAATATCCATAGCATACTTCCTTTGTGAAATCACAATCCCCCGTTTGGATTGGGCAATCTCTATGCCCAAGAAATAACGAAGTCTGCCGAGGTCTTTTGTCTGGAAATGATGACAAAGGTGTTGTTTTACCTGTGTGATTCCTGATGATCATTACCTGTAATGACAATGTCGTCCACATACACAATTAAGTAAATACTCCCAACAACTGAGTGACGATAAAACACTGAATGGTCAGCTTCATATCGCGTCATACCAAACTCTTGAATAACAGTGCTTAATCTCTCAAACCAAGCCCTAAGAGATTGCTTAAGTCCATACAAAGACTTATGAAGACGACAAACTAGTCCAGAAGACTCCTCCTGAGCAACAAACCCAGGAGGTTGCTCCATATAAACTTCCTCACACAAATCACCATGGAGGAATGCGTTCTTGATGCCAAGCTGGTAAAGGGGCCAGTGGGAATAGCTGCCATAGAGAGAAATAATCGAACTGAGGCCATTTTAGCCACGAGAGAGTAGGTATCACCATAATCTAGGCCAAACAGCTGTGTATAACCTTTGGCCACTGAACGTGCCTTGAGACGATCAACTTGTCCATCAGGCCCAACTTTGACTGTGAAAACCCACCTACAACCTACAACAGATTTCCCAAGAGGAAGAGGAACAAGGTCCTACGTGCCACTGTTTTGAAGAGCGCACATCTCATCGAGCATAACTTGTTTCCAGTCAGGGTGAGATAAAGCATCACCTACAGTCTTGGGAATAGACACAGAAGACAAAGAGGAAATACAAGCATAATGCAAAGAAGACAAGCGATGATAAGACAAATTAACATAATGAGAAGATGGATTACGAGTGGAACGTATACCTTTGCGAAGTGCAATTGGGAGATCAGTCTCAGGGGGCAGGACCGAAGGGGACGAAGGAGTTGGATCCGGAGGAGAGTCTATGGTGATTTCTGCATTAGTTGATGGTAGTGGAGGTGGCCGTGGTCGACGCCGATAAACCTGCAAAGGAGCTAATGGGGGTGGATTGGCTGACAAAGGAGACAGAACTACGTTTGGTGGGGCAGTAGTGGGAGATGAAGAAAATATGGGTGATAGGGACTCAGACCCTATAGACGTCTCAAAGTAAGGGATTGACTCAAAGAATGTGACATCAGCAAAGACGAAATATCGACGAAGAGACGAGGAGTAACATTTATATCCCTTTTGGGATCTTGTATAGTCTAAGAACACACTTATGAGAACGAGCTGAGAGTTTGTCTAATCCAGGACTAACATTATGGACAAAACATGTAGACCCAAAGACTCTAGGCTGTAATGGGTGAAGAGATTGGTGAGGAAATAGAATAGAGTGAGGGATCTGATTGTTGAGGACAGATGATGACATCCTATTTATGAGATAACAAGCCGTAAGGACAGCACCACCCCAAAAATGTTGAGGAACATTATTGTGAAGTAAGAGTGTCCTAGTGGTTTCAACTAGGTGTCTATTTTCACGTTCAGCGACTCCGTTTTGTTGTGGTGTGTGAGCACAAGACGTTTGATGAAGCATACCGTTAGTAGCCATGAAAGTTTGAAATTGAGTAGATAAATATTCTCGAGCATTGTCACTGTGCAAAGTACTAATGGATATACCAAACTGATTTTTGATTTCATTATAAAATGTTTGAAAAATAGCAAATAACTCCGATCGATTATAAATAACCAGGTACATCGAGAATAATCATCAATGAAGGTAACAAAATACTTAGACCCTAAAGTGGAAACAATGCGACTAGGACCCCAAACATCCGAATGAACTAGAGCAAACGGAGACTTAGAATGACGATTGACACGACTCGAAAAAGAATTACGAACATGTTTTCCTAATTGACAAGACTCACAAGACAACAAGACAACGTAGATAACTTGGAAAGGTTGGGCACTAACTTTTGTAACTTTGCAAGACTTGGATGTCCTAACTGAGCATGAACCAGGAGGGGAGAATCCACCACGGAACCAACATGTGCAAATGGTTGAAGAAGATAAAGACCATTTACTCACATCCGGTGTCAATCATCCGTCTCGAACTCCGGTTCTGCAAGAAAAAAAAATCTTTGGTGAATGAGATAGTACAATCAAGAGATCGAGTCAAACGACTTAGAGACAATAAGTTAAACGGAGATCCGGGTACATAAAGAACATTAGTAATGGAGAGCGAGGGAAAAAGGTGGATAGTACCAGTACCCTGAGATTGAGTTTGGGAGCCATTTGCTAATGTGACAAAGGGTAATAAACCAGAAGTAGAGAATGAAGAAAAAAGAGATTTATTATCAGTAATGTGATCAGTGGCGCCTGGATCAAGGATTCATGGACCAAGAGATGTGGAGTGAGAAAGACCAGCAAAAGAATTACCCGTGTGCGCAACAGAGGCAGTGGAACTAGCGGCCTGGCACTCCTCATACCACTTGATAAAGTCGTTGAAGATAGCAGGTGAGGTGGCAGAATCAGTCGGAGTAGCAGCCTGTGGAGGTGTGGAGGTGGAGCGGTCTGGGCAACGTGGGCAGTCCGAGGAGAGGGACGTCCATGTAAAGCATAACACCGATCAATAGTGTGGCCAAGCTTATGAAAATGATCACACTTAGGACGAGGCTTTCCTGTCTTCTGAGAAGGAATATCGGAAACCAAAGATGAAGCACGGTTACCGAAAAAAAATTGGCGCCGATAGATAGTGGATCTACTGGGAAAACACGAATTATGGTTGCCTCTTGTTAGGCTCTAGATACCATGTTGAATAATGAGAGAACAAGAGGAAGGTTGGATTGAATCCGTGTGTGTGAATTACACATCGGAGCTCATTATATATAATAGGAGGCATAAATGCCATAGTAATTACATAATATTCTATAATAATTACATAATATTCTATTTCCTATTTACATGATATCCTAATTACTTACAGAATATTCTATTTACATAATATGAAATATTTCGATATCTAACAGATACAAATGACCAACTAAATGGTACTCTTACTTTGTCCCCTTATGGGTCTTTGATTTTGGCTCATTTGGAATAAGCTGGGTGCATATAACCTCGATGCTCCCACTTGAGAGGGGCGTGGTAATATACATAGACCATTTTAGGTTAGTTTGGCCTATTAGGTCCACATGTTAGGTTATAAATACTGTATGTATACTTATTCTTCTACCTTACTGATTGGGTGATGAATGAATTACTTTATTCAGTTTTATTTTCAACAGAGGTGGTATTGAGGATTTAATATAAAGAAAGGTTTGCAAACTAAAAAAAAACTAGTCATGCATACTAAGTATTGCCGTGGGGTCTTTTTCAGTAAGTTCTTGTCTTGTTTTCAACTAGATTAATTGCTTAATTTTCCATTCATACGCAGCTACTGCTGAAAGGCTTCAGGCTCTCATTTTAGCTGAGTCTATGGTTTCCATATTTGGAGAAGATTGGCTGATTAGCAAAGTAAGCACTAACGAGACACAAGATCCAACTCCAGCTGACATGTATGCTTTTATCGTTAAATGAGATAACTTATAAGTCTGTGCATTGAATGCTTGTTGTTTCTTTTTCTCACATGTTGTGATTTTAGGTGTTTGTTGCTTGTCTTGGAGCAATCGAGAGTTGAAATTGCTGTTCTTTTGAATGAGTTGGCCTATTTAAAATATGAAGCGCCTCAAGATACCTCGACTACTGTTGAGGCATATTCTCTTAAGCAACGAAACGTGGCTGTTGCCTACTCTTTGGTTGAGAAGATAATAAAACTCATTTCAAATGTTGATGAAAATGAAGGTATATATTCAATGAAATACAATTCACTTGGTCTATAAATTACATTTTTCCCCTCTACTTTTAGGACAATTACTAACACCAAAAATGGTCCTTTTGCTCAAATTCAGTCCATTTGGGCTTCATTTGGTATCATACTATTGAAACTAATTGTATGTTTGGGTGGAGGGTTTTGGAGGGGAGTACCTATTTTTCTTTTTTAAATTTAGGAAGCTATAAACTTTCTAAAAATATTAAATGGGTTTGACTTATTATATTATCATTTATCATATTATTCTTACAACAACAACCAAGCATTATCCCACTAAGTGGGGTCGACTACATGGACATATTAATTTTCAATTTTTTTAACTCTTAAATATGTATCAAATTATAGACTTAGTCCTCCAAAACCCATCTCCCAAAGATACCCGAAAGGTATTTGAGTAAGAGGAAAACAAAGATAAAAGAGACTGAGAAATACTCTTCTGTGTATTGATGTGATGTGATAAGATTTTATGAAATATGTTCTAGATACTCAACTGTTTCAATCCATGCGTTTCTCTCACATTGTGGGCCAAATAGCAACTGAAGTTAGGCAGGGACCCGAGGGGATAATGCTCAGTCTCTTTTTCCTTTTTTCCCTATTATCTGGTGTGATGGTTAACTTTATGCAAGTTTTGGTTATACCTTTTCCTACTGGCGTCAATTATGTGGTAATCTCTTTTATAGCCGTCTTGATTGCTTGAAATGTGATTCTCATCTCACATCTGATGCTAGTTGGCACTGTTGGAAACTGTGGGTTTGTTCTTGTGAATTGGATATAATTTATTTCTTCATCACTAATGCTCTATAGGGACCCTTCTCGATGATGACACATTAACAAAGCTGATACTACAACTTAATGAGACAATTGCTGTTGTGCTAGAGTATTTAGAAGATGCAAAGGTGAAACTGATTTTTATTTAATTTTAACACTGAATATATCTCAACAATGTATAATGGTGAAATTCGACAGGAACATGGTCAAAGGAAAGGGGATGGTTTACTTGCTTCAGTGCGAATCATTGGAAGGTATGATCTTTTACATTGCCTCTTTGCATTACTTGTACTTAAGCACTTGATTGATTGGTGCAAGGTTATGAATTGACATTTAATTATTCCCTTGAATGATTTAACTATAATGTGTCAGAGACATTTTTCATCCACTTTATGAATGTAGTGCACAATGTTATATGGCAGTTGCAACTTGATAGACCGATCTAAAAGTTGTTGCACCAGGAAAGGAAAAATGTAAATTTTATCTATTTTCCGAAGGCTAATTGTAAACTCTACGAAGATCTTAGTTAATTTTAAATACTTTGTTGTTTCTCCAATCTCCATGCCCATCCTCCAGAGAAGAGGGGTTTTTTGTCATGGATTAACTATTCTAGAAGCTTATATTGGTTGAGATTCTTTTTACTGCTCTCTACATCTTTAACTTTAATTTTTTGAGAGGAAATGTTATGATTTATGAACTATTATCATGTATTTGTTTCAGCTATCTTGCAGAAGCACCGCTTGCATGTAAGGAAAAAGTTCAAGATCTTTTAGGGTATATGCTTTCAATCGAAGGTGCAGATGAACAAAGGTATCTTTAAATCGATAGTTATTCATAAATATTTCTCTCAACGAGTATTTTGGGGCCTGAATAGCTTTTGCTTAGATAAATTCTTCGCTGCAGGCCCTTCCACTCTGTGTGCTTTCTGCTGCCTATGTTGTGTCAAATTACTATGAAGGTTGAAGGATGCAAAGCTCTGGCTTCGTGTGGAGGACTTAAGGCTGTAAGTTATTCTCTTGCTCGGATATTTTTGGTTATATTTTATTCTCTTTTTCCTCTTCCATCTTTATCGGTTTATAACTGCATTTTAACTTGAAGGACATTTACGAATAAATCAACAAAATGGTAATGATTACTTTCTCATTGCATAGTTCTATTATTTGTATTCTAACATGGATTTTGTATTTATTGAAACAGCAGTATCATTTGATAACATTACTAACAGTTTTTTTGGCTATAAATATAATGGGTCTATTTGCAGGTTTTAGACTGCTTCAGTAAATTAATTGGGTCAAATGTTTATTTGGTTGAGGATGATGGCCGTGTCTTCTTGGCATGTGATACAATAATGAACCTTCTACTGAAGGTGATATTCTGATTATAATAACCAGCCTTGTGATACTATATTAGTTATGCAAAGTCCTGACACGAGTTACACCGTTTTGACTGCAGAAAAACAAAGTGCAGTTTATGTTAGATGAATCGGCTTTTGTTGATCTTCTTAAAGCATTGGCTTATTGGTCAGGTACCATACTTGGTTGCATCCATCAGAATGAGTATTTTCATTTTGCACTATCATATATGATCAATATATTTGGTTGTTCATTTTATTGCTTACAAAAAGTGATAAGTGCAATGCTGCATGTGCAAGGGATAGCTTCAGGGTTGAAATTATTACAAAGTACTGATGAACATCTTAACAAGAATTTTAATTGATTTGTGAGAGGATGTGAAATTTTTGCTTAGAGATTGAGTAGAAGATACTGTACCCTAAGGTGTTCTATGATTACAAGTAAAGCCAAACATTGTTTTGCTTTTATGATGTAAGCCAGGTGTGACTTTTCTGTTACTCAGTGCAATCAAAGTTGAGTTAACCTTGTTAAATATTTTGTCTTTGTTTCCATTTGGGTGATATGGACTGCAGAATGAGTAAAACTTGTGATGTCAAAACTAGTATTTATGTCATTAATGAGTGGGAGCGAAGTTAAGTTGTGACAAACAAGAAAAACACACGACTTAAGTCTTGAAAGGTGAAACCTATGGCATCATTCAGTCGTGCCAGAAATAGGTCTATAATCAGAACCAAGACGTTTCAAATTTTGGAAGAGTATTTGGTCTTATCTTATAAATACCAGACATGTGAGTGTTTGGAAGAGTTTATGAAAAACTGCTTGTGATATGTTCATTAATTGGTTTCTGCTAATTTTCATAAGCTTCCCATTATAATTTAGGATTTAGAAGAATTTATATGGAGTTTCTTCTCATTTCTTCTTTGATTGCAGAAATAATTTATACATAAACACTTGTGTGATCCATATGTGCCTGATTAAGTTTTTCATTCAAACAATTCCTAAAAAGGAAAGGCTGGGGTGGTGGTTAAACTTGCACACTAATTGAACAGCGGGGATTTTAAAAATATCCCTTACCTTTTCCTGGGATATTAAGTGGCTATGTTTGGTCTTGTTCTTTTCATGAGCCCCAAGAGAAAATTTTGATTCTTAATTTTGTAAAAATCCTAATGCATTCGATAAAATGTTTCGAAAAACGAAACATTTAACCATGAAATAAATTTTATGAATGATTTTAGCTCAGGCAAATACCATCAATGAAGTCCACAGTGTTTATTTGTTTATATATTGAATTGAAATTATTGTGGAGTAAATCAGTAGTTTTACATCTGTTCCTGAAACTTACATGGTTTGCAGAAAATACTGATGACATGTCAAGTAAGATGATGGCTTCGAGCATTTGTGCACTGATATTTGATTATACATCAGAAGAGGCTCTTTTAAAGAATCCTGATTTCAATCATGGAACTCTTAGAAGTCTTTATCATCTCATTGCAAGATGTCTGGCTTCATCGGAGCAGGTGAACAAATTATACTGCTGACCTGGTTCAATAAATTAAGATAGTGAAAATATTTTTCATTTTATGATTAATTGAAGATATCTGATTGCTTGTTCCTGGCGATGAGCTTGATTATTTTCAACTGAGAACTGTTCCTCGATATATTAGAACTGTCTGGACCTCAGATGCTAAAGCACTATTATAGTGTCATAAGCTCAATAAACATGTTATATGTGAGTTTTATGGATACAACTCCTCACTCAAGCATGCTATAATCTTTACCCTTGATCTATAGTAAATGTATTATCAACTAGTTAAGCACTGCAGTATATCATTGTTGGGAACTATCACGTGTTACCACATTGGTTTTGACACCATTTCCTTATACATTTTCTACAGTTGGAGTTTACTTACTCTTCAATTTTAAATAGCCCTTTTGAAATTTTACTAGGTTTCTTCTTTCATCTGAATTGGGCCCGTTCGACCACTTCACTCAGAAATTTAATGTTTCAGTGGTGGCTATTTGTATTTTAATTTCACAATTACTCAAATACTTGGTAATCTGTTGCAGGATAATAGAGTAGTTTACTAATATGCCCTTCATTTTATCTTTCTATTCTGTTTTGCTGAGCTGTCAGGTTTGTTAGTGGTGTGCTGTTAGCTTGTTATGGCCTCACACCTTTTCTGCTTTGTATCACATGGCTATATAAAGTAGCCTCTTGTATTACTGTTAAACAAATAATACAATGAGAGTTTCTTTTAATTCTCTCTCTTTACCTATTTCTATCATGGTATACAGAGCATAATTTTTTTTCCGATCCATGGAACCTTTATTCCCTTCCTCTCAGGTGAAACTTTCTCACCTAATTTCTGTTAAGCTTGACGACAAGAATTTCAAACAGTGGAAGCAGCAGATTGATGGCGTCGTCCGTGGTCATCGTCTTCAACGCTTTGTCACTGTTCCGGTGATTCCGCCACCGTCTCCCTCAGATCCTGCATCTCACAGTGCGTTTCTTGAGTGGGAACAGCAGGATGCTCTCATTTGCACCTGGCTTCTCTCTACCATCTCCGATGCTCTCCTTCCTAAGCTCGTTGACTGCAAGCATGCGTGGCAGGTGTGGACAGAAGTTCATCGGTACTTTGATGTTCTTCTCTCCACCAAGGCTCGTCAACTTCGTTCAGAACTCCGGCGTCTTACGAAGGGTTCACTAACGATTACTGAGCTTATGACGCGTTCACGTGACATCAGTGAGTCGCTAACCTCCATCGGTGATCCCGTTCCTCTTCGTAACCTAATTGAGATTGTTCTTGATTCGTTACCTGAGGATTATGATTCTATTGTCGCCGCCGTTAACAGCAAAGATGACGTTAGCTCCTTGGAAGAGTTGGAGTCTTCCTTGCTTGCTCATGAGTCGCGATTGGAGAAGCATCGCAAAGCTGCGATTACAGAACCGGCGACGGCGACGATCAATCTCACTCAAGCAACACCTTCTCCCACTCCAGTCGCTTCTGATCAAGTCATCTCCGAGGCGTTTCCTCAAGGAACGAGTCACGTCACCGCTAATGCTGAAAATCATTCCTATGGTGCACGTGGTGGTCGTTCTGGTCGCGGTGGTGGTCGTTTTGGTCGTGGAGGAGGTCGTTTTGGGAAATCACCGTGTCAGATTTGTCACAAACCTGGTCATGATGCTTCAGTATGCTACTATCGTTATGCCAATTCAAGTGGTGCTAGTTATCCACATCATCGAGCTCCCTTCAATCCTTTTCACGTGGCTCCTCGTGCTGTTTATCCTGTGCAGCTTGCTTATGCTTCTCCCAGAGCTGCGCCTCCCAGATCTTCTGCACCACAAGCCTTTTATGCAGGTACTGAAGCTAACAGTGCAAACCAGTGGTGGTATCCTGACTCAGGAGCTTCTCATCATGTTACTCCTGATGCCTCTAATGTGTCTGACTCTGCCTCCGTGCCTGGAACTGAACAAGTTTTCATAGGTAACGGCCAAGGTTTGTCCATCAACTCTGTAGGTTCTATGTCTTTTCCCTTACCTCACAAACCTCATCTATCTCTCACTCTTAACAATCTCTTACATGTCCCTCACATCACCAAAAACCTTATGAGTGTGAGCAAATTTGCTCAAGATAATTCTGTATTTTTTGAATTTCATCCTAAGTTTTGTGTTGTCAAATCTCAGGCTACTTCTGAAGTCTTACTCAGTGGTCTTGTTGGTGCTGATGGCCTCTATAAATTCTCCAATCCAGCTGCTCCTCCGTTGTCCAAATCTTCTTCCTCTTATAGTTCTAGTCATAGTTATCCTGCAGCATACAATTGTAATACTTCCTATAGGACGGATGTTATAGATTCTATATCTCAGTGTACTGAATCTGTTGCAAATCATACTATAAATCCTTTGTCTTCTTGTAATGAATCTTGCAATTATAATGTTACAAGTACCTTTTTCAATTCTTCTCTAAACTCTGTCAGTACTGTTTTACCTTCCTCACACTTTAATGCTGCAAATTCTATTGCATCCAATAAATATGTGCTTTGGCATACTAGGCTGGGACACCCCAATCATCATACCCTCACTGAAATCTTCAAACTGTGTAATCAATCCTTTCCATCTAAACCCCCTGCTGAGTTATGTCACGCTTGCTGCATTGGCAAGTCTCATAGACTTCCTTCTTCTTTATCTACCACAGTTTACTCTCATCCCTTTGAGCTGGTTGTATGTGATCTTTGGGGTCCTGCCCCTATGCAATCTTCCAGTGGTTATACCTATTTCCTAACCTGTATTGATGCCTTCTCTAGGTTTGTTTGGGTTTTTCCTCTCAAACTTAAGTCTGACACCATGGTTCAATTTCTTCAGTTTAAGAAAATGGTTGAACTTCAGTTCAATTGTCCCATTAAATGTGTCCAAACTGATGGGGGAGGTGAGTTTAGGCCTCTTACCAAATATCTCACAGATTTAGGGATTGTTCACAGATTCACTTGTCCCCATACACATCACCAAAATGGCCTTGTTGAACGTAAGCACAGGCACATTGTTGAGACTGGTCTCACACTCCTTGCTCAGTCCACCCTTCCCTTAAAATTCTGGGATCATGCCTTTGTCACAGCTGCATATCTCATTAACAGACTTCCTACACCTATACTTGACAATGTCTCACCTTATTTTAAATTACTTCACAAAAACCCTGACTATACTATCCTTAAAGTCTTTGGCTGTGCATGTTATCCTTTTTTCCGTCCCTATAATTCTCATAAACTTGATTTTAGATCTCAACTGTGTATTTTCCTTGGATACTCTACCTCTCACAAAGGCTATAAATGCCTTGCTTCAGATGGTCGCATTTTTATTTCCAAGGATGTTGTTTTTAATGAAGCAAATTTTCCTTATTCCACCTTGGTTTCTTCTTCAAAATCTGTCTCTCTTCCTAACACTCCATCCTCTTCCTCTCCCTCTCTCAGTTTTCCTCCTGTTTCCTCTGCTCCCTCTACTTCTAATCTGTCTTCTATGCCTTCTTCTTCCTCAAATTCTGCTTTTCCTCAACTTAGCAGTCCCACTATTTCTAATTTTTCTCCAATCTCTTCTTCCTCTTCCTCTGCTGCTCCCTCTAACAACTCTTATTCTTCTGGTCAGCAACCTATCCCTCAACCTCTCACTGCCATTCCCATTACCTCTTCTCCTTCTTCCTCTCCTGCCCTCATTCTCTCTGATCCAGCTGAAGCTAGCACTCTTTCTCCCTCCTCTTCATATTCCTCTCCTTTAGTTGGTCCCTCCCCTGGCCCTAGTCCTATTTCCCACCCTGCTGCCACAGCTTTACCTTCCATTCACCCTCAAAACATCCACCCTATGCAAACTAGAGCCAAAAGAGGAATCACTCTTCCTAGACTTCACCCTACTCTATTAATAGCCCACCTTGAACCTACATCTGTTGAGCAAGCCTTGGCTGCTCCTAACTGGTTTCAGGCCATGAAGGAAGAACATCAGGCACTGCTGAGAAATCAGACCTGGACTTTGGTGAAAGCTCCTGCTGGAAGGAAGCCTATTGGATGTAAGTGGGTGTTCAGGACTAAGGAGAATCCTGATGGTTCCATAAACAGGTATAAAGCCAGATTAGTGGCTAAAGGGTTCCATCAAAAGGCTGGTGATGATTTTCAAGAGACTTTTTCTCCTGTCATTAAACCTGTTACTGTGAGAATTGTTCTTTCTATTGCTGTTACAAACAGGTGGCCATTGCAGCAGATTGATGTTAACAATGCCTTCCTCAATGGCACTCTTGAAGAAGAAGTCCTTATGCAACAGCCCCCTGGCTTTGAAGTTGCTGACAGAACTCTTGTTTGCAAGTTAAATAAGGCTATTTATGGTTTAAAACAGGCTCCTAGGGCCTGGTTTGATAAGCTAAAGTGTGCCTTGGTTCAACTCGGGTTTAAGGCTAGTAGATGTGATCCTAGCTTGTTTTTGTTGCATCAAGGTAAACTTCAGATTCTAATTCTGGTCTATGTTGATGATATAATCATCACGGGTAGTTCTGCTCCTTTTATAGCTTCCTTGATCAAGCATCTCAATAATTCTTTCTCTCTCAAACAGCTGGGACAACTTGATTATTTCCTAGGGATTCAAGTGACTCATCTCCCTAATGGTTCTCTTCTCTTATCTCAGACTAAGTACATCACAGATTTGCTTTCAAGGCTTAATATGTTGAATGCCAATCGCATGCCTACTCCCATGGTCTCTAGCAGCAAATTGTCCAAGGTTGGGTCTGCTGCGGTTGATGACCCTACTCAGTTTCGGTCTGTGGTTGGTGCCCTTCAATATGCTACCTTAACTAGGCCAGAGATCTCTTTTTCAGTCAACAAAGTCTGTCAGTTTTTGTCCAATCCTTTAGAGGATCATTGGAAGGCTGTTAAAAGAATCTTAAGGTACCTAAGTGGTACTCTGCACCATGGTCTTCTCCTTCAGCCTGCTCCTATTCAGCAACCAATGCAGTTGCTAGGGTTCTGTGATGCAGACTGGGCATCAGACCCTGATGACCGGAGATCTACTTCAGGGGCCTGCATATATCTTGGGCCTAATGTTGTTTCCTGGTGGTCCAAGAAGCAACAGCTTGTTGCAAGGTCCAGTGCTGAAGCGGAATATCGCAGTATGGCTCAGCTAGCTGCTGAACTCATTTGGATTCAGTCCTTGCTCAAGGAACTCCATTATTCCTCTCAAGTTCCTAAGATCTTGTGTGATAACTTGAGCACTGTTACTTTGGCTCACAATCCTATTCTTCACAACAGGACTAAGCATATGGAGCTTGATATTTTCTTTCTGCGAGAGAAAGTACTCAGCAAAAGTCTGACTGTTGTTCATGTACCAGCTCAAGATCAATGGGCTGACATTCTCACTAAGCCCCTCTCTGCTGCCAAGTTTGTTCCTCTTCGTTCCAAGTTGCGTGTGTATGATAAGGCTGCTTTGACAAGTCTGCCATCAGCTTCTAAGGGGGACTAATAGAGTAGTTTACTAATATGCCCTTCATTTTATCTTTCTATTCTGTTTTGCTGAGCTGTCAGGTTTGTTAGTGGTGTGCTGTTAGCTTGTTATGGCCTCACACCTTTTCTGCTTTGTATCACATGGCTATATAAAGTAGCCTCTTGTATTACTGTTAAACAAATAATACAATGAGAGTTTCTTTTAATTCTCTCTCTTTACCTATTTCTATCACAGGATACTAACTCGGATACGGATCTATATGAAATTATCTCTACTGGTAAGTTTCTTCTTTATTTTTTGTCATTTGAACATTAATCCAAGGCTTTCTGAAAGTTGCTTTTTTAACTTGTGATTATTGTGTAGGTTTCTCCCGATGGGCTCATCGGTACCCCCACATCAGAGAGGCAATCAAAATATGATTGGGTAATCAAAATATGATCTTAATTTTCCTAATATTTATTAGGTTTATGTGAATGCTTTTGATGTGATATTTGTGTTGAGTAATATAATTCAGTTAGAAGGTGGATAGTTACTTGGTTAATTCTCAATGCTCTATATTTTGAGCACTCTATTCATTTCACAAATCTTTTAATATGATTGGTTATGTAAATACTATTAAAAAAATACCAAGCATGTAAAAATGTAAATTAAATCAACATATAATATAAGATTTTGAACCTTAAACTAATTAAAGACGAGTGAATCGCACACATGTATCATCACGCAATAAAAGGTACACCTACTAAATTACTAAATCAATAAAAGGTACTACTAATATAAACCTAATTAAGAGCTTTTGTCAGGTAAGGCTCCCATCCAAGGAGGCAACATTCCTATTTGCTCATGAACAGTCTTGAACAGAGGTGGCAACATCTTGTACACACCAGCAAGATCCTTCATACCCATTGCACCTTCTGTTATTCCCCCACCATTGCTCCATATACTAATCTTAGGCTCAAGTCCACGAATTGCCTCAGCATTAATCTTTGCAATCTCTTGAAATATGCCACCATCGATCATCAAGTAATCCCTTAGAGCTTTGTAGTTTCCTCCAAGTGCAGTGAGAAGTGTACTTATATATACTCCTTGAGATTGCCCAAGTGTCACAATCCCCTCTGCTTCCTTCTTCTTTGCATATAGATCTGCTTCAGCTGCTTGCTTTCTAGCATAAAATTTTGCGTCTGCCAATGCAATCTCTGCTTCTGCCTCTGTCTTCTTCTCATACAGAATTGCTTCTGCCTCTTTTTGTTTCTTGTACAGTTCCCAGTTTGCTTCTTGTACCTACAATTTCAATCATCAAACGATATACTACTTTTATAATGACATACTAAGTTAGCAACTGTTAAACGAAAAGCTTAATCAGATAATGAAATCATTTTTAATATGCATATAGGTATAGAATTCATATACTATGCTTAGTAGTTGTTCGATAATTCATAGGTATTCAGTAGTATCTATGAATTATCGGCTCCATCAATTAACATTGCTCTACTTCTCTTTGTATCATGTCTATCCTATCAAGTGAGAGCCTCTGGCTTTTGACAAGCAAACAATCAAAAGCCAATTGTGATCTCATTGTAGTGTCGTAAAAGGCAACACCAAGTAGGTCCATTGAATTTTCAATTTTCATGTATGATGTTTGTAAATATGTAGTGCGCCGATTTAAAAGATAATGAATTCTTTCACGCAAACAACTTTATCATTTAAAAAACAAGTTTATCAGTTACTTATACAATTTTCATAGAGTAAACTAACCTTGGTTTCATATTGAACACTGGCTTTACTTAGAAACTCAGCTTTAAGCTTCTCAGTTGTTGTTAAAGCATTCATCTTCACTTCACTCCTCACTTTTATTCCTTCCTTTTCACCCTCCATTTCTCCGCACGGCAATAACCTTCGTCTCTGCATCAATTTTCGCTGCATTCTGCTGCGTTTGTCCTCTTCTCAATTTCGAACCAATCTCACCTTTCATAGTAGCTTCTGCCACATCTACTTTAGCTTGATTCGCTGCTTCTATTTGTGTTTTTTGCCCTAAATATGAGAAATACTCATGACCTGGAACATCAACCAATTGTTTAACATTTGCATTGTAAATCAATAATCCAAACTGGTTAAGTTCAAGTTGGACTTTCTCGAATACTTCTCTTTTAAACTCTTTTGTTCCTCTGAAAACCTCTTCCATCGTCATTGAAGCAACGAGTACACGTGTCTCGCCTTCGACGATTCCTTGAACAAGTTGATTAACATGATTGGAAAGCTTATCATGTGGTGAAATCAGTTTGGCGTATTTGAGGAGACTTTCATGATCGTTGGCACGAGGACCGATTGTGAAGACGGCAGGGAGAACAAAAGGGAGCTTCTCAGCGCTCATAGCTTGAACTTCAAAGGTGTAGTTCACCGGAGAAAGGTCGAAGACGGTGTAGGATTGACCAGGAAGAATCCATGCTTTCTTTGCAAGTTTGATGTCTGCGATTCTGACTCCGGTTATTATAAGGCACTCTGATGCTTTTGCTATATACATAATGTTGATTTTGATTTGATATTTGAAAATCTAAAATATAATAAGAACATGGAAACTGACTTCTAATAATGATATGAAACACAACTCACTAAAGTTGAATAAGAGAAATTATATAGCATGAATAATGAATTATTGTATGAAGAAATGTCTAAAGAAGAAAGAATGATTATTATAAAGCTGATAATAACTTTGTTACAAATGGATATTTCTATTCATATCTAACAAACTTATGCTTCGGTTTATATAGTAATCTACATACTATAATTTGAGCGAAGCATACTACAAAACAATTATAAACCATTGTTTTCCTATGGTTTCTCCTGAATTATTGCTCATCAATATTTATCTGAGTAAATGTTGCATTAGGCTTTCAACCAATCCATATTTAGTTTTTACTAAATATGTCCACAATTCTCCACCTCGTTCATAATTTGAAATATTCAAAATTTGGACGAACATGGAATACAACTTAACAAGTTCAAGCAGTGTTGAAATTTGCTACCTGACACAACTTTGGTTAACATGTCCGTTGGATTCTGATCAGTATGTACCTTCGTAAGAGGAATATGACCTTCCTCTACGATATCCCGTACAAAATGATACCTTACATCAATATGCTTGGTTCGAGCATGATGAACTTGATTCTTAGCCAAATGAAACGCATTTTGACTATCACACCTCAGTTTCACATGTTCTTGTTTCATACTTAACTCCTTCTGCTACTGCCATGTACTCGACTTCTGTAGTAGAGAGTGCCACTGTAGACTGTAACATCGATCTCTAACTAACTGGAGTACCGTGTATTTGAAACACATAACCAGTTGTAGACCGTCGTCTATCTAGATCACCAGCATAATCCGAATCAACAAACCCGCTTATTTGACATGTATCTCCACCAAAACACAAACATGTGTCAATGGTACCCTTTAAGTACCTCAAAATCCATTTTACCGCTTCCCAATGTGCCTTTCCCGGATTCGCCATGAATCTATTAACAACACTTACCGCTTGTGAAATATCTGGACGTGTACACACCATAGCGTACATCAAATTGCCAACTGCACTAGCATAAGGTACATTTTCCATGTTTGCCTTATCTTCTGCAGTAGTGGGAGACTGATTACCAGAAAGCCTAAAATGTGGAGCTAATGGAGTAACCACCGACTTATCACCTTTCATTCCAAACCTTTCAACAACTCGCTCTAAATAGCCCTTTTGACTCAAAAACAGTTTTCGGTTTGTCCGCTCTCTTCTAATCTCCATACCCAATATTTTCTTTGCAGCGCCCAAATCCTTCGTCTCAAACTCTTTACCAAGTTTAGACTTCAGCTTATCTATCTCCACATTGCTTTTTGAAGCAATAAGCATGTCATCGACATATAATAATAGATAGATATAATCACCTCCATGAAGCTTCTGAATATAGACACAACTGTCATAACTACTTCTAGAGAAACCTTGTTTTATCATGAAAGAATCAAATCGCTTGTACCATTGTCTAGGAGATTGTTTCAACCCGTAAAGTGATTTTCTCAAGCGACATACCTGACTCTCTTTACCCTCAACCTTGTGACCCTTAGGTTGATACATATATATTTCTTCATCTAAGTCTCCATGCAAGAAGGCTGTCTTCACGTCTAGTTGTTCCAGCTCAAGATCACCATGAGCTACTAAACTTAATAGCACCCAGATAGAAGTATGTTTCACCACTGGAGAAAATATCTCATTGTAATCAACTCCTTCCTTTTGTGCAAACCCTTTGGCCACTAGCCTAGCCTTATATCTTGTACCGTATGACTTAGTATGATCTTCTTTTTTTTATACACCTATTTACAACCAATATCAGTCTTGTTCTTGTGAAGAGATTGCATCTCTTCCTCCATAGAAACCAACCAACTCTCTCTATCTTTGTCTTTGATAGCTTGCTTGAAGGTGACCGACTCATCATCTTCAGTTGAGAGTGCATATTCCACCAAGTTAACCTGCCCATAATGCCTCGGAGGTTTGTCTGACCCAAACTTTTGAACTAGTTTATAATTTCTCTTTGGCCTAGTGGTATCCAAAGATTCCTGTTGTTGTTGTTGTTGTAACACATGTCTATTTTCCTGCTGAACCTCCTCATGATCAAGTTCATCCTCTTCCTCGTCTTCACTAGCGATAGGATTCTCCACCTGACCACGACTAGAATTTGGTTGGTCTTCAGATTCTATCTCAATAACTTGCTTATTTGATATCGTCACATCACCATCATTAGGATTTATAGTTTTTGACAAAGCTACCATAGATTTTTCGTCAAATGTAACATCCCTGCTAATCACAAACTTAGAATCTTCTATACTCCAAAGGCGATAGCCTTTGACCCCTGTTGCATATCCTAGAAAGATAGCTTTCTTGGCTCTATTATCAAGTTTACTATTCTTGACATGATAATAGGCCGTGCATCCAAATATTTTCAGTTTTTCATAATCAGCATGTTCACCCGACCACACCTTATAGGGCGTGTCTCTACCTAAACTCGAATGTGGGGACCTGTTTACAACATAGCAAGCTGTAGCAACCGACTCTGCCCACCATTCTCGACCTAACCCAGAATTAGAGCGCATACACCTCGCTTTCTCAAGAAATGTACGGTTCAGCCTTTCCGTGACTCCATTCTGTTGTGGTGTGCCTCTGACCGTCCAGTGCCTAACAATACCTTCCTGATCACAAAAACTCTTGAAAGCTCCATCTGTATACTCTATACCATTATCCGATCGCAGAGTTTTCAGCTTTTTACCCGTTCTGTTCTCAACCATTGCTTTCCAACACTTGAAAATATCAAATACCTCATTCTTATGCTTAAGAAAGTAAATCCAAGCATACCTCGAATGATCATCAACATATGTAATAAAGTGCCTCGAACCACCCTTAGAAGTAACTGGAGCCGGACCCCAAACGTCAGTGTGTACGTAGTCTAATATTCCCCTGCTTTTATGCTTACTTGTAGAAAACCGTAACCTATGTGCTTTGCCATACACACAATGTTCACAAAATTCCATGCATGGCTTTTTCATGTTCTTCAGCAAACTTTTCTCACCAAGCAGTGATAGACCCTTTTCCGACATATGCCCAAGGCGCATGTGCCACATCCTCGTACATTCAGTTTGGTCTTTACTTCTATTGATTCCAACTGCTAAATCACCAGTGACAGTTTCCCCCATAAGAGAATACATATTTCTGTGACGAACCCCCTTCATCACAACCAACGAACCACAAACAACCTTTAAGCCTCCATTTTCCAAGATTATTTTGCAACCGTTTTCCTCTAATACACCAAGAGAAATAAGGTTTTTCCGTAAATTAGGGACATGTCTCACGTTCATCAAAGTCCTTACCACTCCATCATGCATCTTGATTCGTATTGTACCATACCCCATAATTTTACAGGCATGGTTATTCCCTATTAAAACTGTACCACCATATGTGCTTTGGTAGGTAGTAAACCACTTCCTATTTCACACATATGGTGTGAAGCTCCTGGATCAAGCATCCATCTCCCGGAGATATCATGGTCTTGCTCTGAGACAGAGAAACAATCATTCTCACCATTTGAGACATAACTCGCCTCTTGCAAATCTTGTAGTTTACCTTTGGATTTGTTGCCGTTGTTGGTATAATTTTTAAATAATACTCTCTTATTTGGACAATTTGCTTTAAAGTGTCCAAGCTCACCACATTTAAAGCACGTTCTTTCCGCACGAGCTCTAGATTTTGATCTAAACTTGTCGCCCCTGCCTTGTCCTCTTTCATTAGTCCTCCCTCTAGTAACAAGCAATCCTTGAGCCTGTTCGTTATTTTCTCCACCATTACCAGACATCCCACTAGTAGCAACCTTTCGAAGATCATCCGCTAATAATGATGTTCTAGTCTCATCCATGGTTAGAGTATCACCCACAAGCATCAATCTTTGAACTAGATTTTCATACTTCTTGGTCAATGAAAGAAGCAACATAAGTGCTTGGTCTTTATCATCAATCTTCACTCCTATATCCTTCAAGTCCGATATAATCCTATCAAACTTGTTGACATAATCACGGATTGTGGTGCCTTCCTCCATCTTGCATGTATACAATTTGGATTTCAAGTAGATTCGATTTGTTAGAGTTTTCGTCATGAAATTTTTCTCTAACTTTGACCACACGCCAACAACCGTTGCTTCTTCATTAACCAAGAACGCAACATCCCTCTCAAGGCATAAGATTATGGCTGTCCGTGCTTCAAGAACTAACTCTTCCCAATCCTCATCCTTCATACTCTCAGGTTTCTGTTCTGCTAACGCCTTGTGTAACTTTTGTGATATAAGCAGATTTTTCATCTGCATCCTCCAATAGGAAAAATCATTTTTCCCATTGAACTTCTCTATTTCATATTTCTCAACCTTGACGGTTCCACTAGTAGAAGCCATTATCTTCGATAACCAATAAAAATAATAAAGTTTTACCACTCTACAATTTTACAATTGGCTCTGATACCAATTGTTAGAGTCGCAGCGGAAATTTGGCTTCTAATAATGATATGAAACACAACTCACTAAAGTTGAACAAGAGAAATTATATAGCATGAACAATGAATTATTGTATGAAGAAATGTCTAAAGAAGAAAGAATGATTATTATAAAGCTGATAATAACTTTGTTACAAATGGATATTTCTATTTATATCTAACAAATTTATGCTTCGGCTTATATAGTAATCTACATACTATAATTTGAGCGAAACATATTACAAAACAATTATAAACTATTGTTTTCCTATGGTTTCTCCTGAATTATTGCTCATCAACATTTATCTTAGTAAATGTTGCATTATGCTTTCAACCAATCCATATTTAGTTTTTACTAAATATGTAATTGTGGACATATTTAGTAAAAACTAAATATGGATTGGTTGAAAGCCTAATGCAACATTTACTCAGATAAATGTTGATGAGCAATAATTCAGGAGAAACCATAGGAAAACAAT